TTTTATTAATCATTGACCTAAAATCAGAATCATTTGTTTTGAATTTTTTTCTATTATTTTTTTCTGGTAGATCGATTTCATCATTCATTTTAATTGTCATTTCTTGACATATTGGTTGAATATCATGTGGAACCATTCGAAGATTATTACGATATAATTGTAACATACGTGAACCATCAACAATTAACTTAAATATACGTTTTTGTTGCATTTCACCTTCATGATATGTTCGTTCTTCTTTACCTCTAAATAAACAAAAACATTTAAATTAAAGAATAAAATAATAAATAAACAAACTCAGTCATAAGAAGAACAATTCGACCTTGTCGAGCACGTCCTGTTCGACCCATACGTTGAACAAGTCGAATAGGTGATTTAAGTGCATCAAAACAAATAATTAAATCAACACTGCCAATATCTAAACCTTCTTCACCAATTGACGTTGCAACAAGTACATTATAACCACCAGCACGAAAATCATTCACAACTTTTTTCTGTAATTTTTGATTAATACCCTCTAAATTCAATTGTTTATTAATAGAGTATATATACATATGAAAATATCAGAGGTAATCTTCCAGTCTTAAAAAATTTTCGTTATTCTTCAGTGATAGGCATCCATCGAACCCGAACGTATGCGTTCAAATTCAGGCTTGACTGCAATCATTTCCAGTCATTTATTAAAAGAAAATAGAATAAAAAAAGTCAATAATGATCAGAAATACGCGCAGCCATGCTTAACGGAATCTTATCGTATTTCCATGCGCAGTTAGACAGTTACTCGCAGGTGATTGTGAGTCTTGGTCTTCTCTTTATCTACACCCATACCCGCACCTCCACACATGTGATCAAGTGCCCTAGTGAGCAATTGTCCACGAACAACTATCCTAGGCACACTTTCATGATTGCTTATATTCCTTAAATAACGTTTGAGCAATTATCCAAATACTCGATACAATCTGAATTAGTTGGATCGTCGGAGTTCGGGTTTGATGCTTGCCTATCCGGTGAAGCTCCAGTCTTTCATTGTATATTTTATTCACTTATTCTCACTAAATCTCGTTCGGTCGCCATCCTCAAAATTCGATCAACTTACCTCCACCATTAGATGCTGCTTGTCCAATAAATAACATTGGTTTAATTAATGGTCGATCTTGTTCAAGCAGTTCTGTTATTTCTCTAACGCTATCACGTTTTTCACTAAATATAATAACTCGTGTTTGATCGGTTGGTTTTGTTTTTGTACGTTCAAATGTTTGAAAATGTTCAACAACACATTCACGTAATTTTGTTAATTTAGGATGAGCTATTAGAAGACTTGTTTGACATCGTTGTTGTGTACTAACTTGTGATAAATCAAATAAATTTTGTAATTCCGTATAAATTTCACTTAATTCAGAATTATTTCGAAATGTGAGATGTAAAGAACCATATCTTTTATCTTCAGTTAATTTTTTTTTAAAGAAATTATATACAGATTGTAAACCATGTTTTTCTAATTCATCAAGAGCATGATAAAATGATACAGCAAAGAAAAGTGCACTTTTAGCTTCTTGATATTGTTTATCCTAGAAAAATAAGAATTTTATATATCAATTATTGATATTATGTGATTTACAAAAAATTAAAAGCTTAACAAACCAAATTATCAACGAATCTATGCGATGTATAAATTACAAATTCACCACTAATTATCAAAAAACTTTAGATAAAACTAGTGCGATTTTCAAATCAGCTATAATATGAGAAGTGATTGACCAGTAGAGCCCGTCGGGTTCAAAATTTTCGGATCCGAATCCGACCGAGTCCAAGACTAGCTTGATGGACTCAATTCACCAGGTAAAACTAAGATAAGCAGTCTGTTTTTTTCTTATTTTTCATTAACGAACTGATCATCTTGGCTATAACATCCTATCTAAAGATTAACAATTTTTATTTGATTCAGCTTATTAGTTAAAAATACGTCTTTATGAATATGTATATCTAGATGTACTGATGATGCTAAGTCGATTCTTCTTTTTTTCTATATCCGTTCGATCAAATTTAAAAGAAAAAGTCCCATGCAAATTTTTAAGCAAAACTCTGAGACAATTTTAAATCTAAGTCGCTGTTTCGAACTAGTTTTAGTGGAATTAGTTCACTTATCGTCTTTATGTTACGCGAAATTCTCATTCATTTATATTTAATAAATACAAAGCTTTTATCTACCATCATTTTCTGTTTTGTACAATAAAATCTTTAGTAAATATTCTTGTAAGTACTTTGCAACACGCTTAATATGCGTAGATGATCATGCCTACTATCTATAATCCAATATAAATTGAGAATTCGATTGTCTAACATTCTTCTCTCGAATTTTTTCAATGAAGATATGAAGTAATTCCGAAAATTATTCGACCAAGTTTATTTTTAATTCTTTTTCTACTTTCATCAATGCTAAGAAAAATCCACATAGTGATCTGAATAGAGAATTATATTTCTGACAAGATTTTTCGAAGATGAAAATCACCGCTACTTTCCCAAATATAGAGTTTCTAAAAAAACTCAAACCAAGTTCTTCATCTACTAGAATTAACCAATAGAACTCTAATTGAATTACTCAGAATGATAAAACAAACAATTTTCTACGTCTTCTATCTCTCTACGGGATCTCCCAATCGAGATACATACGAAACAAAACAAACGTCGTTTCATGTGTTATTTCATTTTCGTGTCTTGCATAAAACAAATGTATCTTGTTTAAAGAATACCTTAGAGAGCTGAAACACAGTTTATCTACGAGGGGAGAACAGTAGATACTTCAGTCCTGAAGTTTGCTGTTTCTTCCTCGGTATTTTCTAGAAAATTGTTGACTCTATCATTCTAGGTAATTCAATCAGAATGCCAATTTTAAATTCTAGGATACGAAAAACTTGACTTTGCGTTTTTCATAGATTCTATTCTTGGGCGAAAGCAAGAAAAATTGAAAATAAATCTAGTCGAATAGTTTTTTGACTCATTTCTTTTTTTTTACATACATTTAAATTAGCTGGCTTATCTTTTGCCACTCTTTTCATAGTTAAAACAACCGAACCGCTTGTAACATATTCTGGACTTTTTTGATATATAATTCCTAATCGATTAAGTGTTTCAACCGGTTGTTTAAGTATATTTAAAATACATCGTCGCAAATTTTGCATTAATTGATTGGGTCCAACAACAATTTTATCAATTATTTTATCAAAACTATGTTTTTTTATTTCAGGTGAATCATCTGTAAACATTTCGATATGAGATATTTTAAGATTATTGATCACATTTTGTACAGCCTATGGATAGAAATAAATCAAATTGAAAAAGAAAATCATTTTTTTTTGTTTTTACTTCAACATTATTTCCTGGTGTTGCACTAAGTGCAAGAACACGAAATTCTTCACCATTTTTACATAGTTCTTGAACAACCTAATTCAAGAACGAAAAAAAATGATAAATAAAGAAGAAAATAAACAAAACAATAGTTTTTACTTGACAATAAGCATGTTGACCAAGTGCTCTATGAGCTTCATCAATAATTAAACAACGAATTTTTGACCATGGACAAGTTGATTTAACAAGATCATTATTTAATGTTTGTGGTGTTAAAAAAAAGACTCGCTTTTCTAACCAAAGTCTTTTTCGTTCTTCTGGATTAACACCACCAGTCATTTCACACATTTCACTTTTTCGTATGCCCATTACTTTAGCACAAGCGTCCATTTGTTGAGCAACTAATGGTTTAGTTGGAGCAGTAAATATGATTTTACCTGTTGGATACCAACGACAATAATTAAACATAACAACAGCAGCTATAAATGTTTTTCCGAGACCAGTTGGTAAAACAACAAGCGTATTTTGAAATAATGCTATACTAACTAGTTTATATTGATAATCACGTCTTTCATAATTTGTCGGATAAATCCACATATGACCTGATTGTCGATCAAAATCAGGATATGTATGCATTTGTTCATTATCATTTGGAGGTGCTGTTATTGATGCTTGATGTGTTTGTTTGGAATTTTGTTCTGGTTTATGAGATATTGGCCATTTTGATGTGGGTGCTGTTGTTGTTTTTGTTGTTGTGGTGGTAGTAGTAGTAGTAGTAGTGGTAGCAGTTATTGAACGAGAAAGAGTATTATTTTTTTCAAATTGTTCCATAGCAGCTAATAATTCAATATCATCATCTTCTTGAATTATTGGTTCATGTTTAGTATTAGGTTTTGACATTTTAGGTCCTGTTGATGACCAATATTGTCCAAGAGTTGTTTGATTTTTAGATTTTGTTGAGTTATCAGTCATTTTCTTCATTTATCTGGAAATTAAATTGAATATTAAGAAAAGAAATAAATTTAGTAACATACGAATTAAAGAACTATTGTCGTTTTATATAAATTTTTTTATTAGTATAACTCAAGTTCAAATTAAAGTGAATAGATATTTTTTCATAATTAAAAAAAAATTGGCGCAATGAATGTGTGTATTTGAAATAATTCATCTGAAAATTCGTTTTTCCTTTCTGTTCTATCTATACAACGATAGGATCATTTATAAAAGCCAATGGACATAACTTTGTGGAATATACACAAATATATACTTTTTAAATTTTGTTAACTAGTCCCCTCTATCTTTTGAAAAAATTTAATTCTGTACGACTTCACGAATCAACTAAATGTATATCTAATGAGAAGTTGTTGAATGAGATGAAAAATGATAATAAATATTTTCTGGATTTTTTTAAAATATTCACTTATATACTCATCAAGGATGAAAAAACTTTGTTGTTAACAGAAATACGAAATTTGATGTACTAATATAACTAGGTTGCATAACCGTTTCATTTTCCTTCTATTATCTTTCTATTCTTTGTTATTGCCTCGAAAATTTATCAAAAAGTATATCAGTAACGTACGAACGTACGGACGAGTATCATTCTACCCGTAGACAAAACAAATATGTTTTCTATGGTAATTATCATATCTTTTATGACGATAGCCAGTTTTCATCTAGCTTTCGCTAATCCTTTATCACAATTATTTGGTACAATCGATAATGAAGCACCACCATTTGATATTGTTAGTAAAGGTGCTAAATATGCAATACGCCGTTATCATCTACAATTATGGGCACAAGTTGATTGTAGTGTTGATCCATCAACTGATTTTGGTGATAAATTATCCACTGAATTTCAACCACTTTTCAATACATTACAGGCAAAAACCAACGGGCACAAAAAATTCCAATGAGAGTGCCAGTCAGTATGCAGCAATTAGATGCTAGTTTGAAACATAGACGTATGACATTTATTATACCAGCAAGTCAATTTTCAACACTTGATTAATTACCTAAACCAACAAATCCTACTCTAAAACTTTTTGCTCTTAATGATCCCTTACTATTGGCTTGTATTAAATTTAATATGGGTTTAACAAGCAAACGAGTTACTGTAAGAGTGACAGAACTTCGAAAAGCAGCTGAAGTTGATCAAATTCAATTGATTAATAAACAAGAATAGATTCGTATTGGTGGTTATAATCCACCTTGAACATTACTTTGGTTTCTTACTAGTGATTTGTGTATACCACTTGTCAATCAAGCTTGATCAAAAGTTATAAACATTATATGATATTTTTATTTTATTGGTGGTATAAAAATAAACTAATAAACTATTGAAATTTTATTTTATTCAATAGAGAAAAAGAACAGAATAATTGTGTAGACATCGCCGTCTTTCGGAAGAAAGAGGTACATTGTGTTCTTTGAGTTGGTCGATAGAAAAGACGAATCAGTTGATTAGTTGATTAAATATCATAAAATATCTATTGCGCATATAGATATATATATACGTATATAAATAGTACCTGTAATGTGGTCTCATATTGTCCGTCGTCTTTCAACTTCTCCTTTAACTCGTCTACGTCATCCTAAATTGCGTCGTTCTCCCCATTATGCTACATTAACCGATAAAGATATAAGTTTTTTTGAAAGACTGCTTCCAGATGGACGTGCAATAACAAATCCTGATGATTGTTTACCGTATAATATAGATTGGATAAAAACATGTCAAGGACAATCTCAACTTATTCTTCGACCTAAAACTGTTGATGAAGTTCAAGCGATACTTCGTTATTGTCATGAACGTCAATTAGCTGTTTGTCCACAAAGTGGAAATACTGGCCTTGCTGGAGGATCAGTACCTGTTTTTGATGAAATTGTACTTTCATTACGTTCACTTAATTCTATTGGTGATTTTGATGAAAATAGTGGAGTTTTAATTGCTGATGCTGGTTGTATATTACAAACATTAGATACTCATGTACAACAGTTTGGACATACAATGCCATTAGATTTAGGAGCAAAAGGATCATGTTTAATTGGTGGTAATGTTGCAACAAATGCTGGTGGAATACGTGTTGTTCGTTATGGTTCTCTTCGTTCAGCTGTACTTGGTTTAGAAATTGTTTTAGCTGATGGTAGTCTACTTGATTGTTTAACATCATTACGAAAAGATAATACTGGTGTTGATCTTAAACAACCATTTATTGGTTCTGAAGGTATATTAGGTATAATAACACGTGTTGCATTAGCATGTCCATCAGCAATGTCAGGTGTTGGACTTGGATTTTTTTCTTGTTCATCATTCGAAAATATTCTTTTAACAATGAAATTAGCAAGAAAAATATGTGGTGAAACATTATCAGCAATTGAATTTTTAGATGAATCAACATATAATTTATCATTAAAACATTTAAAAAAAACAAATAAACCTATAGAATCAAATAAATTTTATATATTAGTTGAAACCATGAGTTCAACATATGAACAAGCAAAAGCAACATTAGAAAAGTTAGGTAATTCAGCATTAGAAAAAGAATTTATTACAGATGGTACACTTGCACAAGATCTTACACAATATAAAGATTTATGGTCTATACGTGAACATGTACCCGAAGCACTTATTGCCGATGGTTATGTATTTAAATATGATTTTTCTTTACCACCATCTCGAATGTATAAATTAGTTGAAGAAACACAACAACGCATGAAACAATTTTCAAATGTTCGAAATGTAACAGGTTTTGGACATTTAGGTGATCAAAATCTTCATTTAAATATCACTGTCAAAAATGGTTATTCAGATGAAATAAAATATGCACTTGAACCATGGTTATATGAATGGGTTGCTAAAGAACGTGGTTCTATATCAGCTGAACATGGTCTAGGTTTACATAAATCAAAATATCTTGAATTAAATAAAGGCAAAAAATCATTAGAATTAATGAAACAAATGAAAAATATGTTCGATCCCAAATGTATTCTTAATCCTTATAAAGTATTACCATATCAACTGGATTAGATGTGTCATCTTATTATTTTTTAATTTATGTAAAACGTTAAGATAAAACTTCCAAGCAAAAAGCCTTCTTTTTTATATTTATACAAAAACAATGACATACATTACTGACGGAGGGAACCTCTTCAGATGTCTAATCGCTTTTCAAAAGAGACAATTTTTATTGAATGCGTAATAGAAAAGTCTAGAATAGTTTTATTTTCTGAATCTTTGTTCATTGAGATATGTCTTTCAACAAAAAAGCTGTGGTTTCGCTCAGGTCAAACGTGAAATCGACTATCGACTTCAAATTTGACATGAACAAAGTTCTTAATGAGATTAATTGATAGTGTAAGTTTCAGCTTTTCTCGTATTTCCTTTCTTGAGATGTAAATTTACTTTTACACATGAAATAATTTCGAATATTCAATAACTTAGGATGGAATATATTAGAAAAGTTACAACTCGTTCAATGAACTCATTTTATTGAGAACTTGGTTTGTGCAAAGTTTGAAGTCCAAAGTCAATTTTTCACGTGACCAAAGCAGGACCATAGGCTTTTCTGTTGAAAAATCTATCTCGAGAACAAAGACCTGGAAAATCAAACTATTCTAAACTTTTTCATTACTTATCAAATTAATATTATTTCGGTCGAAAAGTGCGATTTGACACCTGGAGAGGTTCTCTTGTGAGATCAAGTTTGATTTTTGAAACTAATTGATTCTAAAACAAGAAAAAACTTAAATGTTATCTTTGGAAAAAGCTTTCGCAGATAAACATTCGTCTATACTATTCATATGTTTGTACGCCATAACTCGAAATGCAAGTACCATGTGGTGACCTAGTGAAGGAGCAATAATGGAGTCCATGTTTTTTTTCATTTTGTATCAATACAATATAAACCATAGAGATATGTCAGCATATAGATGGGAACTCTGATAAGCAAAATAAGATGATAAAAACAACTAGCAAATTGCAATAAAAGTAGTAAGAATAGACTATTTAAGATTCTACAAGCTAATCTGATGATGACATGCATCATCAGTATGTAAAAACAATAGTTCTACACATCAGGAACAACAATACAAGAAGTGACTGGTTCTTCTCTGAAGATTTTGATCTGATCTTAAAACTATAGATTGATATGTGTTCATTTGAAAATAAAATGAAATCATTTGTCGAATATCCATACAGACGGCAAAAATAAATTTTAATAATTAATAACTTTTTATAACTTATGAATAAAAACAAAAAGTTCTAATAATGGCAATATAATATAAGGAAAAAAGTTCTCAGAAATTTTTTCTATCGATATCAATAAGAAAATATCTGAAAATTTTTTTCCGTACCTTACTTGGATATTCATTTGATAAACTTAGATATAATCATGAATGATTAATTAAAGGTCAAATATATTTTGTTTGACATTTTCTACTTTAAAGAAATATCAACCTGACAGATAAGATTTTAGTTAATGTCATTGAATTAGTATAAATGATGTAAATGTAGTGGCTAAATTTTCTTTCATGGTCATGTCACATTCAATTACATGTCTCGAATGAGACGATAAACAGAAGTAATGAAAAATGATTTATTTTATAATTTATAGCCATCAAGAACAATTTCATAAAATTTAAAATATCACAGGGAGTAAAACAACAAACAAATAATTTATGCAATAACAGACGAATACGTTTGTCCTACTGGCATATCATATGAACGTGAGCGTTTTCCATGATCAATTAAATTAAATAATGAAGAATGTTGATGATGTATAAGTGGCATTAATAAAAGATAATTGTCTGATCTCCATGTTGTTGGTAAAAATGATGAATAAATTGAAATATCATCATGACATTGACGAGAAAATCCAATAGCATGTCTTTCTTTATATAATTTAAGTTCCGAATCAATTGAATCTGTTGATATTGATGATAAATTTGGATGAAAACGTGGTAATATTGAATAACGATCAAATTCTGTATCATAACAATTTAAATTATCATTATTACTTAATTTTGTTTCATGATCATTAAACATTAAGTGATTACATGATTGTAACTTTCTATTCTTATCAATTGACAATTCATAAATATTTGGACATGAATGAACAATAGCACCGGCTGTTAAAAAAAATTCATCATCATTCATTTGTTCATCATCATAATGTTCACGACCGAATATACATGGTGTTGATGGTCGAATTAAATAAGAAAAACGCGATGATGTTTGAGGTCGTGGTAATGATGATTTTTCAATAATATTGTTTGTACTTTTATTGTGCATTTCGGTATTAGTTGTAGTTGCAGATGGTAAAGTACTCGTGGAATAACATTGATGAATTGTCAACGATAGATGACAGTTCGAAGTAGGCGATGATGATGTTGATGAAAGAGACGAAGCTGGTTCTTCTTTTTGACATATCTAATAATAACAATGCAGCATTTCTTTTTTCTCTCTCTTACCTCTGTACAAATGTCCACTTGCCCTATTATCGCTATGAACCACATGACGCATCATATTATTGTTATCGGTACAAAAATCCGAATCAACTAATATAATTTGTGGCATCAGATGATGAGAAAAATTTTTCTATAAAATATATAAACACACCCGATTTGATCACGTTTTTCCTCATTCATTCTTTTTTTTTAAATACTTACCGTAAATATGATACGAATGACTATGTATACATATACCTTTAGTTTATATCTCTCATTCATACTACACTGCTTACATTTCTTTCATCAAATATGATCAAATATGCTATACCATATACGAGTGTATATGATTATGAAAAAAAATACTTGACTTTGAACATGCTCATGTACATAAACCCTAGTTACGATTTTCTTTCTTTTTTTCGAATGCTAAGAGTAACTTTAAAAAAGCGAAGAAATACATAACGATGAGAAATTACAAACGACATTTTAAATCTGCTGTATAGGAGCAGATATAAAATATAGTATTATATAAAGTGGAAGCGAAAAAGAGAAACAAAAACGTATATGTATATATATAGTGAGATGCCAAGAAACTTGGCCTCGGATCAAGATAAATGTCAACAATTTTGTTTTTTTTTTGTAATGCTAAGGCAACTCGAACATTCTCGACATATATAACATACTTGATCGATAGAAGTAAAAGTTGTTGGATAGAAAGAAAATTTGAGACGATTATAATCTATTCGACTTTGAGATAAATGCATGTTTGATTGTTTTATGACAGGAGTCGATATAATAAATGTATTCGCATAAGATGGATCTTTAACAATACATGATGTTGATTGTCGAGAACACAATGTAAATAAGTTAAAAAATTTACTAATTCTTTGAGAAAATCCACTTCGACAACGATTTCTTTTATCTTTATTCATCATAAAAACAAATGAGACATGATGTGAAAATAATATATATATATATGAAGAAATAACATACATAATGATGTGTTAAAACCAAAATACAAAAAAAAGGAAAATAGTCCTGTTACTCTTTCATTACGGACATTTGACAATCGTATGTACGCCTGTCGTCGTCGATATTTATCATCTTATTCATATCAGTCAAATTCTTTTCGCTATTTATTATCTGTACTAGAACTATAAGTCATCATTTGATATAAAATAACTTACAATAACGTATATCAGATTATAGAATAAGACGGAAAAAGAAAATTCTTTTTTTGTCAAAATCAATACTTCCATTCTAATTTGTATGACATCATATGTCCAAGAAAATGTGTAATTATCTTTATTCTATTAGTGAATATTGGATGAATTCTGAAGGATAATAGGATAATATTAACTAATAATGACGTTTATCGTTTATGTAACAATTATCTAATTGATTGAATATTTATAATAATAAGATTTCTCTAATGATTTTCATCTTGAAATATGAAATTAATTATTTTCTAATCGACTATTTCGTATTTGAGAATATAATTATTAAATTCATTCGTTTTATAATACTATAAAATCTATAAAATCAATCTATTTGATTTCAAAATAAAAATAGATATCTTTCAAAGAGTTTCGAATTCTAATGAAATTTCAATATTGTCAAATCAATATTTTTTTTTTTGACATTAATCTGTTGGCTTCCATATGTACATCTATCGATATGATTGAACGATTCAGATGTTCTTTTCTTAATAAATGACAAATATTGCATGCAAACTTCTCTGTTTAATATAATGAATAGGTTCAAGCCGAATGGATACGCAGATTAGTACAACTCTTCATTCGAAGGTCAAACGATATACGTACACACATATATATATATATATGATTGTGTTAAACGATGAGCGTGGATGAGTTTCTGACAGATAACTCTCGACAAGGATGTGACAGGAGTCGGATAGAGAAAGGACAGACGGCTGTCTAATGCATTTTACCGTATATAATGGAAAAACAATTGCTGATTAACTTTTCTTTTTCTTTTTAATAACATCAATGAATATGTATATAATTTACGCTCACCGCCTCGAATCATTACTAAAACATTATACAATTAAAAACATCGAAATGCGATAACACCAGTATACATATTTCCATATCAAAGAGACTATGTATATATTTATATATGCACATTGGCCACGCTATATATACGGTCATATGCTCATTATTAGTCATCATATGAATGAACAGTCCGTTTGAGTTTAATCATTGAACTTCAATCAACCATGCACATATTTTAACTCTTTTTTTTTTGTCTATCATTATAACTGTATGGTACAAAATTGAAACCGTTAGATTAATCGTGACTGAATATGGCCTTCAGTTGACAAACATAGATTATATCTATGTGCGAGTATATGAGATCCCTAAAGAAATCGAGAAGAAAGCTTGATATATTTGACAAAGAAAAAGAAAGAGAGAGAGAGAGAAAGGAATAAACTAGTAAGAGTGTTAATTTAGACTTGCATTTGTATGATGTTAATGTTTTTCTTATACCCAAAGAGACTAACGGGAGAGAGAACGTCTTTTTCTTCCTATTTTCTTCTTCGTTTCTTGATTAACTGAACAGAAAGAAGAGAAAAAAAAACCAAAAGCAAGAAATAGTAGCAGTTGATAATATTGTCATCTAATCATATTTGCATGAAAAACTCGCGCATTGTTAAGTGACTAGAATACTAGAGAACCATGGGATTCGGATAGCATGTTTTCATCAAATTCTTCTTTTTTTCCGTCGATGAACAAATTCGATTTTATTTTGTGAATTCCGACAAACATTAACTTTTTGCTTTTACTCTTCTTCTATCTAAATTTGATATACATCGTTGCGCCTCATTCTAATGTCATCTTGCCCGTTGAAACTATAATCAAGTAGCTACTGTGTAGAAAGAGTATTTTACCAATTATTTTATCACCCTTAAGGCACAACTAGTTGGATTTAAATCGATGATTGATTCTATGAAGAGCAATCAAATCTATGTAACTAGAATTAATCAGCATATAAAAATTTTTCTTGAGAACATTTTCCTTTTTTTGTTTATCTGTAAATCTATTTCATTTCTTTTCCTCCTATCAGATTTCAACTCTTCAATATGTGAATGAATAAATTCACTTGTTGACGATATTATAGTCGTCTGTTATCAGATCTGATCCATTGACACGACAACAGGATGTGTACATAGCTGACAAAATCTATAAACATACTGTCAATGTTTGAGCTTAATTCAATTCATTTAACCTTTCTTCCATCACCGCTAATATCCTCATTATATTGTTGAAATTTTTGAAATCTTCTTTTCTTGCTTTCTTCTGTCTGCTTGTATGTATATGTTATTCTCAGTGTTGATTGTTTGCTTTTAAGCTCATATTCCTATCAAATATATTCACATAAATACGTTTATTTGTTGATTCTGTCTAGCATGATCGTTGATTTATTTTGATTTTTTTCTATTATACGTCAGCCATATGTCAGTGTATATATTTGAAAAGAAAAAAAAAAGACCACTTGAACAAATTACTATGAATCGATCATCATCATCATCCCTTTCGATAGACAATACCCGTCAATTCATCCATATCGAAGACATTTCTAATTCAATTGTAGGAGTGTTACCTAGGTTAAGAGTATGCATGCTTGAGTAGTGTAGTGATGAGTATATGTATTGTCCATTCTCATCTTATCAACAACGGAGCATTTCATGGTTCGTATATTTGCATATATATATATATATTGAAGTAATAATAGATCTTTTGGTACATTCGATCTTCTCAAAATAAGATTGATAATACAAAAAAAGAAAAAAATGGCTTCACCTGTTCAGTAAACGAACTGAAATGAAACCACTTATCATTAGAGTGAATTGCGTACAAGAATTATTTGAAGATTAGAGCATAGACCATCAGCCACTTTGCACCTTTTACATTTTCTTATTCAAACAGGTGTTGATTCTTTTCTTTTTTTTATTCTTTTCAGTACTTTATGACCGACACGGGAAGCCGATAATCGTTTTTCTTTTTTTTACGTGATTGATGTTTTAAGTTGAGTGGTATATATCGACATGGTTAAAACTCTTAATTCATTTAAAGCTTTTTTCTTTTCTTTTTCTTTCTCATCATCGTCGTTTGTTCATTCACATACATATTTAATTTATAGTATACTAATATTTTTCAATTAAGTGAATATGAGAAGAAAAAAAAAGAATGGACATTCATTTGATTAGTCGTTTCTTGTGTTTTTTTCTCTCTCTCGAGATAAAGACAATGTTCGTTACACATTCATTGTACAAAACAAATAGACGATCTTTTTCATAGTAAGTCACGCGATATTATTGTTATTGTTGTTCTTCCTCCTTCTTGATTTCTATCATTCTTACAGTTCTCTTCTTTTTGTTGATTCTACATGCGTGTCCGATTTGTTACATCATCCTATACGTTTTTGACTCTCTTTCTTTTGCTCTTTGTATCTTCTCGACATGGGCGGAGTGTCAAGTAAGATTACACAAGCAACATGGGTATGTATTGATGAACTATTCACTCACAATAAGATTCTATATACATATATGTACGGATGTATATGTCTATCATCCGGTTTATTGCTGTCTAGAAAAAAAAAAAATTTTTTTGCGATGAGTGACAATAATTTCTTTTCCTGTCATTTCAATTCTATCAAACCATTTAATGTTTCTTAGTCATTATCATCATGAAATGAAGTGACAATTGATTTTAGGGCTTTTTTCCTTAACACAGCAGGGGTAAGAGAGTCAATGAACTAGACTGCCTACAGCGATGAGACATGCGCCATACACGTCAATAATATATTATCAACAGCTCTCGAAATTTGATAAAGATGAGCATATATTTCTTGTTGCCTATCTCTTTCATATTTATTCACTTACGTCATAGATGATTGTTTTTGATCGTTATATATATATATATGAGTATTGATTCTTATCATCAGTTTTTTTTGTATTACATAAATAAATCGGAAAAGTTTTGCTCAACTGTTAGTCTTGATGTTTTAGTCACTTGCTTGACGGAAATGGTACAAAGAATACAATATCAATCATCTATTGACAAAGATAATCGACTCTCATTTTCATTTATTTCTCTTTCTCTTTCACTCATATACAATTGAAAAGGAAGAAATTATGGAACACATGGCTAAGCTCAAGAGAGATAAGCCAATAGTTAGATAGTCTCGATTTTTTTTTTGTAGAATATTAATCATCTACTGTCGCGAATTAAGTCTATGCGTATATATCTAATTTTTTTTTGTTTCAGATGTTGTTATTTATTATTTTATTTATTCTAATAAATCCACTAAAATCTTGTCCATTAACTGATAATTATTTATCACGTTGTCATTGTGGAATATTAACAAATGGTGAATCGTATATAAAATGTGACGAAAAAACTCTGTATGAAATTCCATTATTTAAACGTTCATTTCCATATGATGAACTTATATTAATAAATAATCATATTAAAAATTTAACACGTACATCATTTGATAATATAAAAACAATACGTCGGATTAATTTAGAAAATAATTCAATATCATTTATTGATAATGATTTATTACGTTTATTAGGAAATTATTTAGAAGAATTAATAATAACAGGGGATAATAAAATAAATTCATTAGAATTTTTAACACGTTATCCATTAAAAAATTTACGTATAATTAAATTAAATAAATTTAATTTAAGTGAAATAAATCTTGGAAATATTTTCATTAATATGACTAAACTTGAAATAGTTTCATTACGTTCATGTCAATTAAAAGAAATACCAAATTTATTAAATATTTATCAATTAGATTTAGAAAATAATGAAATATCAAATCGAATTTATTTATCAACATCATATATACATCTTAATTTAGCTAAAAATTTTATTTCATCAATTATTTTACAAAACAATTC